AAAAACAGTCGGATGGATGTATGCACACGTTTAATATGACAGCAGCCTAAAAACGGTGAGCACATCCATTCTACGGAGAGATGCGGTCCCTCATCGGCCGAGGAAAAGAGGAAGTTTCTTGAGCCGGGGCCGCAACAGGCCCAGGGAGTTGGCAGCACGAGTGGCTAGAGGAAGGGAGTTTTAGACTATAGGGGCAGCAAAATAGTGTGAGTAACCCCCCCCGCACCCACTCCACTACGGTTGAAGGTTGACCAGAGGCCCTGACGGTTAGGGAGCCGCAGTGGCGAGATATTAACCACCTCGCCTGGCATACAGGAAGTTGTGGATTCGATCCCGACCCTGATGCCTGCTGTATAATTGGAGTTTTCGTGTTCTCCACGTGGTTGTGTGGGGTTTTCCTCGGCGTCCTCCAGGGTTTTCCCTCCAGATTTAGAAAACACGCGTTTTGAGTATTTGGCTGCAAAGCATTTCCGCACAATGATAAGCCACTTCGCAAAGCTATCATTTATGATAGACAGGTCGCTTCTCAAAAAGAGCTATACAGCTGAGTGGGCTTTACCTTGTAAAATTATTTTTTTGTTAAGTTAATGCAATGTGAGAATAGGTTTTCCCCTTTTTTCTGGCAACAAAACAGGTGTTAACATGTTAAAACACAGTAAACTGAAACCTTTTACAAGGAATCATGTCTGCATTAACCACAATGCTTGTGGTCAGAATGCAAACAAAAAACAAACTCTGATAATATATGCATTGTGTTTGAAACTGATTGGTCCACACTAGAGACACCGTTTTGAGACTAGGCTCTAAACAAAGCTGTATTGTGGTTAATGCAGGCACGATTCCTTGTTAAAGGTTTAAGTTGACTATGTTTTAACATCTTAACACCTGTTTGTTGCCAGAAAAAAAGGGGAAAACTTATTATCATATTTTGGTACTGGCAAAGGAAGTCCCATGATGTTAATGAAATAGTTAAGTTTAGTTATCCCGAGTTGCGCGAGACTACAAATGAGGCACACAATAACAAGTGAGTTAGGCCACGTGATGATCTCACCACGTGTGGGTCGTTAAGACCCTCCACCACTCATCTCATACATGTATATCTCGCCTTAACCAAGGCGCTGCACAGTGAACAAGCTATCGCACAAGATGCTTGGCGAGTTGAAACGAGACGAGTGGATGGGATATGTGTGTAAAATGAGGTGGTGGCGACGATGCGTGGAATAAACGAAGATGGAAATGAGACGAGTGGATTGATTATGGGTGGCGATGGGGAGTTGGGGACAGGAAAGGCGTTAGTGCGGGTGTGGAGGACTACAAGGGGACATTAAGTTGCAGCGCTATGCAAGATCGTTTAACGCACGAGCAATTAATGTTGCGGTTCGTGCCAGTGAGGTGAAGAACGATTCTCACGAGGAACTTTAATCGCGACTGGTTTACAAGACCTTTTCACTTAAAAGCGTTGTTAAGCGTCGACAGAAAGAAGGGGAAAAAAAGCAATACGTCACATGGTCCGGAATCAGAAAGAAATCTCGGAAAGCGAGAATAACCATGTCACCTGACCCGGTGAATGGTAGCGCCTCTAGTGGCTGCAGGCGTGGTGTTAACTCATTATATATTATATACAGCGCACATGCATCAAAAGACGTAGATTCACACACGCGTGGTCCAATGCCGCGTATCGTGAACTTAATATTTGACGAACTGAGGCATCGGTCCAACACCAAAAACGTCACAGAGTAAACCCTTAACGAACACAAGGACATTTGGCATTAATAGAAGTTAAGCATTCGCTCTTATCAAATGTAACACAGGGCCGTATTCATCTCTCTTTTTGGATTAGCTGGGCATCGGGGAATAGCTGTGGGCCATCGTGGCAGCAAAGTAATGGGAAAAGTGCAGCTTTTCTTGCTATCCAAGTCCAGCTTTCACAATGCGCTCAAGTCTGCGCGTTGGGTAGAGCTGGGGGTGGGGGGGGGGGGGGGTGGGAGGTGCATTGCCAAGCTCCGGCATTTAGAGTCCACATGGATTAAAGTAGCTCAGGCTTTACAAGCGGACTTAAGTCGGCTTTGCAAATCTGGCTCTCTCGAGGTGAGCTAGGTAACTCACTGATAGCGGCCAGGACAACATTGTGCATCACTGCTGTAGGGAATCTTTTTTTTTTTGCACTATTCAATTCTTTAAAAAAAATATATGATTTAAGAGGCACAAAGAAACCAAAGGAAAGAGATCCACAATCACGCGGCGGCCCACGGTAAAATGCACGGGGAATTCAGTTTCCGCAGAGCATCTGCTTGATAATGGAATAAGAATGATGCTAATTTAGACAAGCCTGGGCAGGCTGCGGTTATTCGCAACAGATACTTTCATATTGTGGGAAGTTTATTTTTTTTTTCTCCTAGCATTCAGCCTTTCAAATTATATGTGGTGGATGATAACAAAAAAAATCCCAAGTGTATGGGTTAGTCCACGAGCCCAGACCGGAGAGTTTACTTGTCGAGACGACCCCGTGGCTGCTCCATCACTTGAAATGATCACGCATTTCTCAATTCGGTCAGTGCTCGTGAATTTATGCGATCACCAATTCGAAGTGAGTGGCATCGTCAAATAAGTCACTCGTATGAAAACAATAATAGGTTTTACCCCTTTGGCAATAAAACAGCAGTTGTTTTAAGATGGTCAAGCACCAAATAGATACCTTTTGTAAGGAATCAAGTCTGTGTTAACCACACACGTACTTGTGGCAGAACATGCAAACAAACGTGCTCTGTATAACACATGGCATTGTCTTTGAAACTGATTGGCCTACACCAGAGACGGCCTTCTTCATGGCCAATTCACTCGTACTAGCCGCCGTATGGGTCTGTACTTGAAGAAGAGCAGAGATTCGGCGGCATGAATCGTTTCGGGGAAGGAAGCTACAGACGATGGTTGGGGAGGGGGAAGAAACCTCCCCCCCCCTCCCCCCCAAATGATTGAAGGTTGACTAGAGGCCCCGACAGTTATCCCGAGTTGGCTACGCACGGCGCAAAGGAAGTTCAACATGCATGCGTACGTACGAATAAGCTGGGCCACGTAACGGTGCGACCGAATTCGCGTCGTGCTGCAGGCCTGTGCCACAAACGTCTTCGGCTCACCACAGGCGCTGCCAGGGTGTGCTCTGGGCCCGTGCGCTCGGCGACTCGAGGATTAAAGCGGCCGATTCAAGCCACGGTGCCCAGCGCAAATTGCAAAACATCGGGTTGAAATCGGGGCTGTGTTTAAACCCAAATTTCAAGTGTAGCCGGTCATGGCCATTACACAGTATCAGCCTGATCGCTTTAATGACTGCACAAATATAACAAATGTTGGGTGTGAACTAAATTTGACAGTCCAGCTCTGACTAAAGTGAAAAAATATATATGCATATTTACTATTAGCATTGCCTGATAACAGAATATGATGCTTTTTTAAATAAGACATTGTAAATGAATAATGTGGTCAGTTTTTCATTTGTTATTTGGCCCTATACACCACTGTCAAACACAGTCCCATTATTTCACGTATGCATCAAACATGATTGGCATGTGATGAAAATAGTTTTTGTAGCACGGAGCGCCATCTAGTTCTATGGTCTGGTTCTAGGTGTCATCTAATCAGCGCCCTTCTGACAAGATTGAGGCTCACTTTTGCCACCGAACAAAGTGCTATGCATGGTTGTGCCCAATCTCGTCAGATCTTGTAAGCTAAAGCAGGGTTGTGTCTGGTTAGTATTTAGATGGAAGCCTGCCTGGTAATATCAAATACCAGATGTTTAAAGATTTGGGCCGCAAGGTGGACATGGAATGGAAGTACGGCCAATGGATTCTTGAATCAGAACACAGTGCTGGAGGAATCCGATAAGCTAAAAAGCTCTTTTTCACAGATGTCCAGTAGGGGCGGGTTAGAACGTTACAACAACAAACAATATGACAGCCCAATAGGAGTGCAAAGTATAGGAGAGTTAAGCAAATTACAAAAAAAATCTGTTTATTTTACCATGAGCTATTAGATTATTTTTCAGACGCAAACTGGCCACAAATTATGGATTAACGAAGTGGCTCATCATCTGGAAATTTATAGCAGCTTTGGATGTTACCCATTTATCGATATTCTGTCAGTGTCCTCCCACATGAATACTCCTTCATGGAATTAACCAAAAATCCACATGTTGCAAGACCCTCCTGAAAAATAAACTATTAAACGACTAAACCATTTTTATTTTACCAGGTAAGGCCCACTGAGCTATATAGATCTTTTTTAGACGTGAACCTGGCGACATTTGATAGCTCAACGAAGTGGCTTATCACGTGGGCATTTGTAGCAGTAAAATACTCCGCGAATTTCTACATAATCCTGAGACTCAGTAAGGAGACTTCCCTGGGTAAATACAGGGCATTAGCATTATTAATAATTATTAGTTTGTCAATTGGCTGTCCGTATTGTGGTGGTGTAAAGAGTAGGGTAAAGTGTGCGTACTATGATCTCATCCGAGGCGTTTGGCCAGCGTCTCGCCACCTTGGAAGTGTGGGCCAAAGGTACTCTCCAGAGAGGCCTCTCTATAGCTCCCCCGAGTGGAGTCCCGTTCTGCCGACAGTGGCGTGAGTGAGCGATTGCAGGGCTGCACCTTTACCTGGGTGTGTTCATGCGAATGGACAAGAATGGCCAAGGGTGGCCACCTCACATTATGGAGGAGGGGAAAAGGACTTGAAGTACAATGGCCACCGTGCCATGTGAATGTCTGTTAGGGTGTGACATTTGATGCTGCAATCTGCCACTTTCCTAAGACACACTCTCACGCCCTCTCAAATATAAGATCAGCACTAATAAGCTAATAGCAATTATATATATACTGTATACTTAAATTATCCTGGGTGGTGATGTAGATGAAACTCATTATCCCACTCCGCTGCAGGGTATCTCTTTGTCTTAACATCTGCCGTGTTCATAACCTGTTGTGTTTTCTTTCTCTCTTTTCTTTTCAGGCAGAGAACTGTGCCCTAGCGCTTGAAAATGCAGCCCAGCGTGAGCACTACAGCTGCTGTCTTGATGAGGTATATCACCCCTTAGCGCGCGTGAAACGCCATCGCACGTTTTTAGAGGCTGCTGCGAACATCACCATTTTTTCGATGCCCCTCCCAAGTTGTTTGGTGACTGGCAGACGAATAATGCCCACTTCCAGTATGGTGCTGCCGCTGCACCGCGTGCTGCACAGGGACAGCTGCCCACTGTCGGGGGGGGGGGTCCCATTGGCAACGGTTGCAGGGGGGGGGGTCCCCATGGCAAAGGCCGCAGCAGCCACGTCGAATTGGTGGAGATGACAAGTTGAGTCAATCGATCCTTTCCCATTCTGATGACGTACACGTGGCGTCCATCGGTTTTTCTTCCGATTCGTCGTGTACATCGTCGGAAGGAAAGCTGAAGTAAAAAAAAAAACTTTATCGGTGCGGGTCGGAAGACGTGCCGAGGCACCCACAAGGCCGTGCGAGAGGGCGTGTGGCACTGTTTGACGCCAGCTATCGCTACAGTCCTCTGCGGTGAGTACAATGTTTTTTTTAAAACAACGGTGAATGCCCCTCTGAATAAAATTAACGCTAATAACCGCTTGCGCGTTACGAGATTCAGCGGTGAACGGGACAGCCGCCCTGCAACTTTCAGACGTCTTGGAACGGGAAGGGGTTAAGCAAGCGACCTATGAATTCTAGATTTGAAGTTTTCGTGACTGCAAGGATCCATACTCTTTGGTTCTTTCGGTAAAGTCACGTAGGTAAAAAATTAAATAAAATAAAAATAAATTCAAATCACGACGTTTCGGGCGCACCACAAGTGCCCGTCATCAGGTGGAAACAACCCCAGCAATAAACGAATTGCTGAAATGGGCAAAAGGAGGCTGCCCGTGACACGAGGCTATATATACGTAAGAGGGGGGGGGGGAGGAGCCAGGGAGGAGAGATAGAGGGGGTACGGGTGTGGGGTAGGGGGCTGGCAGAATGCAAAATATCTGAAGGCAGATAAAAAAAAACAAAAAGTTATCTACCATAGCTGCAGTGCTAAGTGGCTCACAAATTATATTGGCGGTGTGAATTTGATTCCCGGCCGCGGCCAACATCGGTGGAGAGTGATATCTGAGCCGGTCCTGGGCCTCCCCATTCTTCACGAAGTATGGTCACATGGCCGCCATGACTGCCACGGTGTGCGAAAGGCCTTTATCCAACAATGGATTGACAAAATGGGCTGTCATAAGAAATGTATATTAAATCTTGCATAGGCGTTTCAGGTTGCACTTGAACGGATCTCTGAGGTGTCCCGCCGTGTGTCCTTTGGCACGACGAGTGAAGTCGCACTTCATGCGCTGGGTGCATCGACCAGGAACTCAAATTCTTCCCAAAAAATATATATCCTAGTTACGTGAAGCGAAACGTCGGACACCGCTCCAAACAATACGTGGCAAGAGCAGAAAACACGGCAGAGAATCGGATTCAGTGTTAAAGGGGCATCAAAATAAGGGTAACATTTGGTTGGCAAAAAAAAATACATTATTTCTGAAAACCTTTCAGCTGTCAGCGCGGCACATTGGAAACCTGAAAGTAGTGAACAATACTTATTGCCGTGAACTTACTGCTGACTCTCTTCAATTTTTCCCTAGGTGAAATCCACTTGTTAACAATTAAAGGAATATCTGGCTCCATTTTCATTCAATTTCAGGAGCTTTCAACAGGTGTCTTTCGGGTATTGTAGTTTTTTTCAGGGGACGTTTTCCTCTCTACTCTCCGTGAAATAAATTTATAATATAGAGCAGTCAAATTCCATACTGCACTACAAATTGTATGAGTGTGAATATTTGGTAACTGATAGGTCTATGAATATATAGTTGTATATTCACAAATAAGCCGATGCCTATTAGGTTTAGCCTGAACCAGCTGAGAGCCTGAACCAGATGAGGGCCTGGAACAAGTGAGGTCCTGAACAGGTGAGAGCTTGGACAGATGAGAACCTGAACAAGGTGAGAGCTTCAAACAGATGAGAGCCTGAACAAGGTGAGAGCTTGAACAAGATAGAGCCTGAACAGGTGAGAGCTTGAACCAGATGAGAGCCTGAACAGGTGAGGGCCTGAACCGGGTGAGAGCCTGAACCACGTTATAGCCTGAACAGGTGAGAGCTTGAACCAGACGAGAGCCTGAACAGATGAGAGCTTGAACCAGATAGAGCCTGAACAGGTGAGGGCCTGAACCAGGTGAGAGCCTGAATCAGGTGAGAGCCTGAACCAGGTGAGAGCCTTGAGGTGGCGCTTGAAGGTGGATGGCGCTCGGATGCTGCGTATCATTGCGGGTGATTTGCCCGTAGGCTTAGTGTAGCTATTTATATGTAAAACAAGATGAGAGGCATAAAAACCGCACCGCATTCGCCATAAGCCGAGTCATAACGGCTCGGTAAAAAGGCGTGCGCGAGAGAGCCGCGTATTCGCAAGAAAGCTCTTCAGGGATTTCACCATTGACAGGGAACGAGGGGGGGGGGGTAGCATTACGGAGGCTTTAGGGGAAGCGGCAGCGCTAGCAGCAGCAGCAGAAGAAACAGAAGCGTGACACTGAACGCGTTCAATGTTTTCCTTTTGAACCACGGGGCCCGAGAAAGCGCCGCCACCGTCGGCGTGACACGTCTGACATTTGTCGGGCGCGATCATGGCCATTGTTAACGACACGCGGTGGATTTTTCCGTTTCCTATCAAGGAACATGAGGCGGTGGACCAACAAGACATCGCGATATCTAAAGCGCTCTCCAATATTAAGTCATTTGCACGTAGGTTTTAGCCTTTTTCAAATCGGAATCCGAATATTTATTTGTACTGGAGGAATCCGATAAGCTAAAAAGCTCTTTTTCACAGAAATCTAATCGGGGCAGGTTTAGAACGTTACAGCAACACACGATACAAAAACACGATACCCTTTTTATGAAGAATAGGTTTTTACCCTTTCTGGCAATAAAATAGTTGTTTTATGATGTTAAAACACCAAGCTGAAACCTTTTGCAGGGAATCATGTCTGCATTAACCACTTACACATGCTCTGACAGTATATGCATTGTCTTTGAAACTGATTGGTCCACACCAGAAGCATTGTATTTGTGCTGTTCGTCTTTTGGCGTCCTCTGATCTAACACAGTTTGAGACCAGGCTCTAAAGAAAGCAGTCTCTGGTGGGGACCAGTCAGTTTCAAAGACGATGCATTTCTTGTCAGAGCATGTTTTTTTTGTATTTTCACCAAAAGTATATGCGGTTAATGCAGACATTATTCCTTGCAAAAAGTTTCAGAATGGTGTTTTAACATCTTAACACAACTGTTTTATTGCCAGAAAGGGTAAAAACCTATTCTTATATTTTGATACTGGCAAGGGAGGTCCCATGACCCTTTTCATTTTTAAAACAATTCTCTACGTACCGCGGAAGGATATTTTATCAAATTTTCAACCAAGACACCCTTGCTAATCTCGTGCGTGTGTATGTCTAAAAAAAAATCTATTAAAGCACATCGAGTTCGACACACACCCGGTGTACATCACGGCGCTACTATAATCAAAATCACGCGGGCTATTGTGCACGGTTGAAACATTTTTCAACTCGCATCACATCAGTGCCCTGCCACCACCTGCTCGATGCTTGTAATCCCCATATCACACGGGGCAGAGTTGAAGAGAGGGATGGGTGAATTTGGCAGCGAGGCTCTTGGGGATTCTGGGGTGGGGGTTTAGTTGTGAGAAGAGAAAGAGGGAGGGTTGATCAGATTTCTTGACATTGCTAAATGGTGCAAAGTTGAGAGTGAAATTGATTTTTTTGTCCGTTTTTTTTTCCTTCTCCTCTCCTCTTTTGGTATTCGCCGGATCTCCGGCGAGTAAGATTTTAATAGAAAACCTGTCGTCGCTCTTCATAGCCCAGCTCAGCCGCTTGCGCAGCGTCTCCCTGGAGATTCTGCGAGGGAGTTGAAAGGTTACCGTAACGACATTTTAATGGTCTCATTGGGCCTGGCCGATTGTTACACTCCTGGGGATTAATGTAAAATGAATGTTGTCTTAACGCATTTTTTTTGTTAAATGCTTGAGTAACTTTTAATGAATTTTACATGCTCTCTCTTTTTCCTCTCCCTCCCCAGTTATGCTCTCTTACCATTCGCATTTCTTTAATTCGCTACACATTTTATCCCTCAATTTGCAAATCTCTCTCTATCTCTCTCTCCAGCTCTACTTTTTTATCGCTGTCCTTCCCCCCCCCCCCCAGCTCGCTAACCTGGCTGTCTGGCTGTCACCCACCGATTTACCCTGTCTCTCTCCCCCCAAACCCCTCCAACTCGCGGACTCCCATCACGCTCCACCACGCAGGTGTCCAAGCAGGTCATGCAGGCTGTGTTGACGCAGCAGGTGAGCAATCGAACACCTACGATTGTGACACGCGGCACATGGAGGGTTGGAAGGCAATAGCGAGGAAGGTCGAGGAAGGTGCAATGGTTGTAATTTGCCAAATCTTAAAAGAAAGAAAATGCAATAGCGTCGCACAGTTAGAAACGATAATGCGTCTGTTTTGCTCGAGCACAATCCGAATGGAAACGTTAATTTTATTTTCGCGTTTTATTTGAATCGTGCATCAGATATTGCAGAAAACGTGGTGAATTTTTACGTGGCAGAAATAAGTTCGCACATGTTTTTATCGCAAACCGTCTCCATAGCTACATTATTTAAAATCAATGTTTTTTTGTCTAATTGTTTATATATGTTACAGAGATAAATCACCCCTGATTTAAACACAGAGCACAGGAGAAGGTGTAATGGTTGTAATTTGCCATATTCTTAATATACTAAAAGCATCTTCTTTGGTTCTTTTGGTAAAGTCACGTAGAATGAGAATTTCATTGTTTTATTTTATTCTTTTATTCTCATTCTACGTGACTTTACTGAAAGAACCAAAGAAGATGAATCCTTGCAGTCACGAAAGCTTTAAATCGAAATTTATACTAAAAGCAATAACGCTATAAAATAACAAAAGCGTAGTTTTTTTTTCCAAGCACACTTTACATACTAAATAAATAAAATACCGTAGGATGTTATTTGAATCATGCATGCATGAAACCTAAGAAAACTGTAGTGGTTTGTTTTCTGTATGGCAGAAATAGGTTTCAAAGATGTTTTCTGGTAGCTGTCTACATGGCGACATTGTTGAACAAAAAAAAAGGGTTGCGTCATCTACTTTTGGTTAAATATCTCAGAGCGCAAAAATTCCTCCATATTCTCTCGGGTCTATTATTGTTTAAAGTGGTCCATTGGAGCTTCTTTTTGGCCTTCGTTCAGTTGTGCCTCAGGCAAGGTATGAATGGAGTGCATCTGTGGCCTTGTGCATAATAAACATCCCTCAACACCGCAAACAACAACAGCAGCAGCAGCAGCAAGGTCCTCTGTGCATCGGCACCGCCAAGAAATTAAACATCCTCAATTAAAAAAAAATCCAGCATTCATCTCCTTCGCTTTGAAGGTTTAGCCCCCAACGTCACGGCTAAACCGAGATCCCCTGCATCGCTGCGCGGGAAGCAATAACTCGTGAAGCATTGTTACCTTTGACACGCCGCTAAGTGTGCGCTCAATAATGCCGCACGTAAATAACCGCCGCCGTGCGGGGCCACCGCCGTGCACAGCCTTTGGCGCATTTCCCATCGGTTCACGGGCGACTTCATGACCGCGGCTTCATTCCGGTCGTGACGCCGGTAGCTGCAGGGAAGCCGCATGCACAATCGCGCCCCAGTGACGCTTAGAACACGAATCGGAAAATCAAGGCCGCGGACACCTCGAATCGCACGTTGACAATCAGCCTTCGCAGTTGACACCCCAGCCCGTGGTTCTCCGTTCTGCATCTCAACACCAAAATAAATAAAACCGGAAACCATCGGTGGACGAGCTTTCCCACGCGCAGCTCCTACCGCCTGGAGTAGCCCTCCCGCTCCACGTCCGACTATTCAGCTCCGTCACATTGTTCACATCTGAACTGAAAGGCGTTTTTATTCGTCCAGGCATACGCTAAAAATAGGTAATCACTTTTTTGTATATTGGATCGATTAATATAAATGAGTCGTAACTTGTTGGCACTCCACTTCACCTCCTGTGAAGGTTTCCTGGTTTGGTTGGGAAGTTGACATTGTGGTCTGGAATGTTACCTAATGGACTCGTTTCTTTGTTGTGCTCACTTTTTAGTTTGTTTTGCTTTTGGGTTTGGTTCGATTTCTTCATTTGCTTATTAATTTTTCTATTTTTCTTAGGAGCAGGGTTTTCATTTGCTTGGTAGTGGCCTGATGTGGGATGTTGTTCTTATAATATAATAATATAAGGACCAAAAATATAATGAATGTAAAGCGTTATAATATGCCATTAGCACGAATGGCGCTGTATAAAATGAAAGTATCGTAAAAGCGCGTGGACGCTGGTGGTAGTTTTATTTTGGTTTATCGAGCATTCCAGCCACGCCACATCTTCATAGCATTCTCAAGGCCCTGGCGAGAGCAGCAGACATATGTGTATAGATTAGATAGGGGGCACACTGACACAGAGTAATGAACATGTCCACCCTATTTTTTTCAAGGAATTGCACAATGTACGGGGAATATGGGAAATCACTCCAGAGAAAATGGATTTTTTTTCTTTTCCATATGTATTTACAGGAAAATGCGACGTTCAGCGCACTTTGCTGCGAAATTATAGGAGAGCGGAGAACATTTACAGGAAAGCCTTGTCTGCGGTCTTGAAAGGCCGAACAATAGCATTAAATTGAAATTCGTTTGGATGGACCTGCTGCTGCTGCTGCTCGAGTTGACTCTTTTATGTGAGCGGCACGCTTGTGGCGGGCGGTGTGTGCGCGTCTGCCACCTAGGCTATGAGGGAGCAATGTACGGCGCTGAAGGCGCGGCTCATGAATGTGGAGCGGCAGAACCGAACCCTGGCCACAATCCTGCTCGAGACCCTTGGCATCCCCGCCTGCCCTGGGGGGCTGCAGGTAACCCACTTCTGCCTTTGTGGACGGCGGCCCGTCCGTGTCTTGCTATTGTGACGGGTGGCCCTGCAGGAGGGCACGAGGCACCTTGTACGCGTCCATGGTGGCATCACAGAAAAAAAAAACTGCGTGTGCGTGCGTGTGTGTGTATGTTGAACTTCTATTGCACCGAACGCAGCCAATCGGAGTGCCCGCACTGCACTACGAACCCGGCTACCTGAGTTTGATTCCTGCTCATGGCCACCAACACCAGTGACGATTATCTGAACCGGTCCTGCGCCTCCGATCCTGTCCGTATGCAATTTTAAATCTCATACTTTCTCTTTTACTTTTTTGAGTAATTTGCTTACCTCTCCTATACTTTGCACTCTGATCGTTTTTTTTTATATTGTTTGTTGTTGTAACTTTTTGACCCGCCCTTACTGAACGTTTGGGTGAAAAAGAGCTTCATAGCTCATCGGATTTCTCCAGGATAAATCATGATTAATATTATATTTATACACACACTTTACACGACTCGGCCTATCTTGCCTTTCTCGCTATGTATGGTGGATTCGGAGAGTCTGGCTTGGCCTAGGATTTGCTGAGGCAGGTAGCTTGAGGGAAATATTCAGGCCCCCCCGTGTCTAAAAAAAGTTACTTCCTTAAGCCACTGTGTCTCAGAATCTTGAGCTCTTTTGTCCCCGACGATGCAGTGTTAGGAGAGGTCCTAACCTTCAGGGGTTATCTTCTTGGTTCTTTCGGTAAAGTCACGTAGAAGGGAAATAATAGAATGATAAAAATGAAACATAATGAAATAAAATTATCACGACGTTTTGGCCACAACACAAGTAGCCTTCCTCAGGTGAAGAAACAGAACTGTCGGAAAGACAGCACTCCAATGAACACTGCTAAGCTTGGCAGCTTATTTTAAGCTGGGTGGGAGGAGCAGAGCGCCTTGACAAAGAAGTTTACATATAACACAATAATTTAGCATTGAAGTAGCTGTGTTAATGTGAGAGATTAGCAGGATGTTAGAGTCAGAAATTAGCATGTAACTGGGAGATTACCAATGATGTTAGTGTGAGGAATTTAGCATGTAACTGGTCACGGAAGTAGCTATGTTAAAGTCAGAGTTTACATATCAACAGAGGCATTTAGTATATTGACGCTAAAGAACTGCATCTACCAAACTATCATACAATAAACCGATGTGAAATAACTAAATATAAACTACAATATATTTTGATTTAAAGCTTTCGTGACTGCAGGGATTCATATGCTTGGTTCTTTCGGTAAAGTCACGTAGAAGGGAAACAATAAAATAATACAAATGTAAAACAATAAAATTCTCACGACGATTTAACTGCAACACAAGCAATCATCATCAGGTGTGAAAACCACAGCAAGAAAATTTGAAAAAAGTGGCGGTTTTTTTAACGTTAGCACCACGGAGAGCGATTTGGCAGTTATTCAGATGGACGAGTCCATCTATGTTCGGAAAAGAGGAGGGGGGAGACGAAAATAATGAATGCGGTCTGAAAGCCACCGTAAGCGTGAACAACCAATTAAGACCCGAAATGGTTTATCAAATCCTTCCAATGATTGCTAAGCCAGAATCCATCTTCTCGGTTTAAATTGTCTCTGTGTTTGTATATGTGGATAGCCTCATGAACGAATCTCTCATGGTAGCTAGATGACTTGCAAAGAACCTCTGTCTTGGAGAAGTCAATGTCATGTGAACCTACTGAATTATAACAGTGATCTGCCACGGCTGAGGTGTTCGTCCTACCATGTTTCAAGTCTGCTTTATGTTCACGGATGCGGTCCGAGATATGTCGTTTGGTTTCTCCAATGTAACTGCTACCACAGAGCCAACTTAGTCTGTAGACGCCCGGGTACTATATGTCTGGAACCACATCTTTTACAGACGGGACCAGATCACGGAGTTTATGTACTGCGTTGAATCGGACCTGGATATTGTGTTTATTCAGAATTTTCGAGATCTTTTTTGTGACCCCCGCAATGTACGGTAAGGTGATGGTTTTGAATGGCTTCTCAAGAGGATCCTTCTTCATGGTTGGAGTGATGGATTTGCGGATTGTGTAGTCGGAGTAACCATTAGCCTTGAGAGCTTGGTGTACATGCTTGAGTTCACTGGCAATGTGTTCCTGGTTGGAGATGCATTGGGCTCTATGGTATAGTCTTGATGAGGGAATTCTTCTGGGATGGATGGTGGTGGGAATCCGGCTTTAAGTAAACATCCGTATGGGTAGCTTTCTTGTAGACAGAGTGGCTCATTGAACCATCAGGTCTCTTTTTAATTAAAACATCCAAAAAGGGCAGCTTGCCATCTTTTTCGACTTCCATGGTAAATCTGATGGCTGGGTGTATGGAATTGATGTGATCGAGGAATTGGTCTAGAGCAGGCCGGCCATGTGGCCAGATGACACAAGTGTCATCCACGTACCTCTTCCATAAGGTCGGGTGTAGAGTGGCAGTCTGGATGGTGTCAGTCTCATATTTCTCCATGAAAAAGTTGGCTACAACCGGAGATAGGGGGGAGCCCATTGGGGTATCTTCAGTTTGTTTGTAGAAAGTTCCATTCCAGCTTAAGTATGTGTTGGTTAAGCAGTGTCTCACCAGGGGGGGGTACATCATTATGCAGTCATTGATGAACCAAGTCTTCAATGATTGCGATGGTGTCAGGTACAGGAACTTTGGTGAATAAGGAAACCACATCAAAACTGACAAGCAGGTCGTCTGGGGACAGGGACATACCCTTGATTGTCGATACCAGGTTTTAGAGTTTAGTACCACAGAGGTGGTTTTTCCAGTAAAAGGCCGGAGGATTTCAGACAAAAAACGAGCCAGTTTGTAGGTGGGGGAGTTGATAGTAGAGACAATTGGACGATGGGGTGTATCTTCTTTATGTATCTTTGGAAGGCCATATAATCTTGGTGTAGTTTATATTTAGTTCTTTCACATCGGTTTATTTATGATAATTGGGTAGTTGCAGTTCTTTAGCGTCAATATACTAAATGCCTCTGTTGATATGTAAACTCTGACTTTGACATAGCTACTTCTGTGACCAGTTACATGCTAAATTCCTCACACTAACATCATGCTAATCTCCCAGTTACATGCTAATTTCTGACTTTAACATCCTGCTAATCTCTCACATTAACACAGCTACTTCAAAGCTAAATTCTTCTGTTGATCTGTAAACTCCTTTGTCAAGGCGCTCTGCTCCTCCCACCCAGCTTAAAAGACGCTGCCAAACTTAGCAGTGTTCAATGGAGCGCTGTCTTTCTGACAGTTCTGTTTCTTCACCTGAGGAAGGCTACTTGTGTTGTGGCCGAAACGTCGTGAGAATCTTAGTTTATTATGTTTCATTTTAATTATTTCCCTTCTACGTGACTTTACCGAAAGAACCAAGAAGATGAATTCCTGCAGTCACGAAAGCTTTAAATCGAAACTTCAGGGGTTAGTTTAGCGTTCGTGAGCCTACCCCCTTCTCGCGTATGTAGACGTCCCTGTATGAAGTTGTTAAAGCAGTGGCGCGGTGGTGAGCAGCTGCGCTGAGTTCAATTCCCGTCCACAGCAAACGTCAGTGGCGAGTGACATCTGAACGAATCGTGACCCCGCAATCCATTTCAACCAACTTCACATTGGCCAGCATGGTCAAGTGTGGTCACGAAACCCCCAATGACCGATGTGGAATGGGGAGACCTTCATCCGGCAATTGCTTGACAAAGGACTGTTAATTGTTATTATGTTATACAAATGAGAAGGTAATTTAAGTAAAATAGGGCCCAGGTATGACTGATAATATAGTTATACGTACATACCTACCCTCTTCACAAAAGCCAGTGTGAGCCGATTGAGAGACAAATCTTAACTGCAGGGATACCTATGGGGATTACAGGCATGAATGGCTTAGGCACAACCAGTACAAAAAACGTGATGCTGCTACAAACGCAACAAACGTCATCCAATAAATATCGCCGGTGAAAATTGTACGCGGTGCAAGGTGACAAATGAGAGCTCTGCATTGTGGACACTGTTGTTATGGTCATGTCAGTTGATCCCAAGAGAAAACTCAACAAACTACGTGATGCGTTATTATTTACCCGTGTGGTTTTTATTCCCATGATTAATTTTGTAAATAAGCGCAGTGCAAGTGTGCAAAGGCTATACAATTAATTGAATGGATAAGCAAGACAGGCTGTTGTTCGAATAGCAGGGATGGCTACGTATGGCGAAAAAGGAGTTCAACACACATACGTACAAATGTGAAATGGTTGATATCTTTATATTTTCTGCCGTCTTATTTTCAGAGTAGGCGCCCCTAATCTCACTGTATGTAGCTTCGGCTCAAGCATGTCTCCTTGTGTGACTCCCCTTCTACTATGCGTCAGACATTGACGAAATAAAATAGAACTTGAGCTGAAAAGTGCGCAAAGAAGCATGGAAAAGGGGGATGCTCAAAAATTAATGAGAGACAGAAAGAAGAACGCAAGGATGAGAGAGTTGAGTGGGCTTGGGCAGGACACTCTGCTGGAATTGGTGAAGTCCAGCGGTCAAGGCTAACAATGGAATAGCAGCCAAAGGAGGCAGCTGGCCTGAAAGGTGGGCATAAACCGTGGATGTCGAGCAATGGGAATTCGGTGGATGCGGTTTGGCGAGGCCTGCGTCCATCTAGCAGTGGATAGGTCATGGCTGACGATGATGACGCCAAACAGGGGGCATCGACGCGGTGTGGCACTGCATTGATTTGGTGTCTAAAAAAAAAATCCTCTTTGTTCTTAGGATTCACGATGTGCCACATCAGTTCTACATGCCTGACATTTTCCAACCTAGAATTTACAATGCCAGGGGACTGAGCCCTTAAGAGCAGGCTTATTGTGTTGAGCTATTGACCCCCGAAAGCGTTTTACTGTGTACTAAATATAATCCTCCCTGAAATACTCCCCAAATCGGTGCGAGTGATTTAGGCATGGCAACAACCAATTCCACGAATT